ATTAAAGCCTATCCCCGACGTTACGCGAGATTTCTGGTCTTTTAGCGACAGACTCGCCGTTTTCGCCCTTAACACTAGTAACAATCGATCAACATAATGGATCGTTTCAATCAGCAATGGCTAAAATTACTCACAATAAGTTGCTAAATAATTAGTAAATTTTTCATACACTTAAATAAAATAAAACAAAGAAAAACAAAAAAAAAAAAATCAATACTTATTTTGGTTTTAGATTTTCGTATAGCAGTATGATTTAAAAAAGTAGGTATAATAAAAATTTTTTTGCCGAAAGTTTATTTAAACGTTCACACGAAGTTATAACTAAAAACTTGAAAGTGCTAAAACCCAAAAGAGCAAAACGTCGAAAATAATTATTTATTTTTTAAAAAAAAAAGAAAAAAAATTTTGATTAATGTAATCATTGCGAAAAGAAGTAATTTATTCTTTAATTGATGGTTACATAAAATTTTTAGCCACCTTGATCAATGATGTAATTGGTTTCGTCCAATGGAAAAGATATTTGCATTCGTCCAATGGGAAGTGGTGGGGAAATTAGTAAACCCATTATCTTCAAGGTAGTAATACAAATGGCTAGCCTTGGCTTGGCTATGGATTCCTATAATGGAGCTAAGCTGAGCAATTGTATTATTAAAATTCACTACCAGTTAACTTAGCCTGTGTATGAATAGGTCTTTATTAAAATTCTGCTAATTTTAACTTCGACAAAGTCAAAGTCAAAAGTCTGCCAGAATTATTTCGCTGTCGACTAACTGAAACTTTATTATTGGATAATGGCTCCATATATCACAAGTTAAGCCATTAACTAGCTAAGCTGTTAGTAAACCAAATCGTTAAATAGCTCTGCTAAACTAATAAGCTTATTCTCTGCAGAGTCATTTTGTATCACTGCTTCAAGGTAGTGCGAATAAATTTTGCTAATTACATGTAGTTAAGTATTATTTTTTAAAAAGGTACAGACATTTTATATAATTTCAAAAAAAGAAAAGGTTTTGCATTTATTTAAAAACAAGTAAAAGGTGTTGCATTTTTTTTTTTTTACTTATTATTTTTTGTTTGATAATGAATAAATAGTAAACTTCCTCTGGAAAGATGCTTAAGACGCTTTAGAAAACTTTTTTTTTTAAAAAAAATATCAATCGTTATTATAAATCATTAAGCTAATATGAATATTCATTAATAATACTCATTTTATAATATAGCATTTTAAGAATCCATTAAGAAAAATATGCAAAACATTACTTAACTGCTAGTTAACAATTAAGTGGAACATAGCAAGTAGGGCCAAATAAGGTTACCCATAATGAATTGAAATTTGCTAGAATACTTAAAAAAATCAAGCATCCTCCTACCACTGCACCAAAAAAACTAAACATTATACTAATTGGACCATGAACATCTTTTTCCCCTTTTATGTGACTTGTATATGCAGCAATACTGCTAAATGACCATATAGAACATATCGTTGTCAGAAATTTACTCCTACAATAAAATCCGATTGGAGGAGTCCAATATGCTATAATAACAGTTAGCCAAGGAAGAAAAAGCGAAACACAAAAGATAATGAAAGCCCAATTACGATTTGTCTTAACATTTGCTGTATTATATCTTACTATAATTATTCTACTTTTTAAACGCTTTGGTAACACTTTACTCACAACTTTTCCATTTCTTATTCTAACATAAATTACAGGTAATGTCCAAATAAATAGTATTGGTATGTATGGCCAATCCTGTAATGATTTATCATCCGTACACGGTCCTGCTGCTTTAGATATCCCTGCAACTATACCAACTACTATGTAATATGCGGAAACACCCATTAATAACCTATCTAATAAAGAGGCTTCTGAAACCCAGTCTTTCAAAATATGTTTCTGTGATTTATTAGGTTTTATTTTCATAGCATGATGTCCAAAAGGTCTAGGAAAATCCTGCTTTTTGTTTTTGATATCTACTTCATCATTATCTTTGATTACAATTTTGGTTTCTTTATTGGTCGAGATTTTGCTATTTTCTTCATTAATTTTATAATCATTTTCGCCGTTATATTCATCGTCACCTTTGCTACCATCTTTTTTTCCATCAACATTGTCGTAGTCATCATCATCATCATCATCATCATCGTCCTTATCATCGTCTTTATCGTCATCTTTATCATTGTCATTTTCGCCGTTGTTATTTTTAATATTATTCATTTTTTGAATAAAATTATCTGATTCAAGCCAATATGCGCTCATTTCAATTGAGTTACTCTCTATGTTGCAGAAGTAAAATAATCCTGTAAATGGGCAACCAAGACATCGTACGAACCATAGGAACTTTGCTAATAAAGTTTTATGAGGAGTTGTTCCTATTGTTAGAATAGCTGGTAATGAGCCTAATACATATTGTGGTATAGGATTTTGTAAAATTCGGAATATAGTTAGCAACCCTTGACCTGACTCCATTTATATGAAGAGAGGAAAAAAAAAACAATACTGGAATAATTTAAGAATAGCAATGTAGGTTTATTATCTGGAAGATTTAATTTCGGCGTCAAAATGATAAAAAAAAATTTTAAAAAATTTATATAGTAAGCATGAAAATTTGAATGTATTTAACACTATAATACTACTAATATTTAATTTAAAATAAAAAAAGCAAATACAAATCAGAGTCTAAATTATTGTAGGTATCGAATGTTCGATGAATTTATCCGGATATTCATTAATTTTTGACCGATTACTAATTATTTTTGTAAGAGGAATGATTTTCGTACATCAGTTTCGTGTAACTTCACGTACATCAATTTAGGTTTGGCCAATAAAATCACAGCATTTATTGGTCTCTTGAAATTCTACAGTTATTTTCGTACACTCCCCTGACAAAAAAATCACCGGATTTCTATAATCACAAAGATCTAACCTAATTTAGTGATGATCGTAGCCACATATTAAACCAATTTTTTTTTATATACAAATCGTTTTGCGTAATAACAAAAGTTGTTAATTATAACGATTTGTATATAATCTAAAAATTTTAGAAATTTTTATAAAGTAT